CTATGTAAATAATTTAACAGCGGTCTAGATCTAAAAGATATAATAATTATTGCTCATGGATTTCATTAACAAAGAAAATAAATGAAATAATGATGATACATTCCATTAACAACTTAATATATGGTCCATTATAAGGGCATTTGTTATAGTGGTATAATTCTTGCTTTGGGTGCAAGAGGTCTCGAGTTCAAGTCTCAAAATGTCCCTCCAAAAGAAAACAAAGCACAATTTTGAAAGGAAAAAAAAAAAAAAAAAAAAAAAAAAAGAGGACAAACCACCAATTTGAAACACTATGGAACATTTCTTTTAACAAGTTTAATAAAAACGCATTTTAAAAAATCAAGGCTTAAAAAGGTAATGACTTATTGATAGAAAAGTAAAGAGAGAAAAAAATTACAGAAGACATTAAATTTTGGGCACATAAAAAGCAACTTTAGAACACTTGAAAAAAAATCTAACATTACCTTCCACCACATGTATCCATATCCCAAGGCACCCAAAGTAGCAGCTGGAATTATGAAAGATGATATATTACCTGTTAAAATAAATAAATGATTAAAAGGCAGTCAATGGCACAGAAAACTATTACCTTTGAAGTGAAAGCAACGATCCAATTTATTGGCACATTATCAAAGTTCTTAAATTATGCAATTTGCAAATGAATTGATTAAAAATAAGCTGACTTGCCAACAGTTCCAGAGTTTCCATTGAGAATAGTAATCTGTCGTGAAGAAGAGAGATGCCGAACTTCCATAGCTAATCGACGCACCTACACGACAGTCAGATAGACGTTTCATTAACCACATAAAAAAACTATCGGACAATACCTCTTTAAAATGCATATATTTTATCAGCACCTGAGCAGCAATGGCATCAGAGTAGTCAGAATCACCCACATATTGTTCCCCAGACTTCTCTAAGCCCTTCACCAAGGACTGTAAGCACAACAATAGAAAATGCAGTCACTCATACGGAAACAAAACAAATGTTCCAACGCTTTGTTGAGCCTAGTTTATCATTTGAACTAGTTTGAGCAAATTTATGAGACATCCAATAAGCTATTCCGTTACAACAATAATCTAGAAAGTGAGATATTGAAGTCCACCGTAAATAAACGATGACAATAATAATTTAAAACACCTTTCACGAACGTTCCATCGCCAATTAGATAAAAAGTCAATAGCATCTTGGAACTTTCCCAAAAAAATTCCTAATGCCACGCAACATTGGAGCTAATTAAGCAGAAAAATAAAAAAAAACAGCCAAAATAAGAAAAATCGACACCTGAAGTTCACCCAACACATCCGATAATTTACCATTCTTAAGCAGGATCGTACTAGAGTATCCTGTAAAAACAAACACAATAACAACATTAACAATCGTGACATACTCTCGAAAAAAATTGGTTTTAGATCATATAAACAGCATGAACGTATAAATTAAATAGATTAGAAGTCTAGTTGAAATACCAGCTCCAACAAGAATCAGAATCTTCGAAAGGCCTACTCCAGTTTGCATAGCCATAGTGGTGTCGTCAAATCGGAAGCCCTAGGGAGGAGAAATGGGGTCTCGGAGGAGGACAAAAAATTAAGTCCGGAGTGGATACCCGGAATGCTACGTTAACTGGGACTGGTCGGCGATGAAAAAAAAAAAATTAAAATTATTTCCAGACGACGCCGTTTGATCATGCACAACAAAACCGTCTTTCTAATTAGGCCACTAACGAGTTGCCACTTAAATATATATTAATGTTATTTCTTTTATTTCCTTCACAATATATATATATATATCCGCTTTTTATATTTATTTTTATGGACATTTTAATATTTAAGATTATAATTTAAATTAAAATAAAATTTAAGAATTTAGTCATTTAAATGATACTTTTATTTTATTAGTAGTTTGTTTTTTCATTTTTTTTATTTTAAGTAAATATCAAAATCTACCTATTAGGTACATTGTGTAATTATAAGGCCATATGATCGAGAGGACGAAACCAGACCGCAAAAAAGACCAACGCAACGCAAGCTTCGATGCGTGGGACTTTCTTACAGCCAGAGAGAGAGGGAGGTGCTGACCATTTCAATGCTGGTGGCAGCTGACGGAGTCGCATTCAGAGACGTGGCGGGAAGATGGGATATCAGCGATAAATCCTGCAGGCCAGTTAAAGAGAGGGGACCTTCTGATCTAATTCCTGAATTCATTTGATGATACACAACAGCGCCTAAGGAGCCTTTCGAAGCGCATCTTCTGAGGTAGGTTTGATCTATATGGTTTTTTAAACGTTTCAATCATAAGTAGGAGTGAATGATGCATTTCCCAGGATCCAAGTTTACAACATATGGCACAAGAACAGGAGGTTAGATATTCTGCATTGTCAAACTGCGAATCCTATTTCGAACGCATCCAATCTACGAAGAAACTTCCAAAGTTCTTACAGGAGACGCTGAATGATGCATTTGCCAGGATCCCAGTTTCCTCATTTCCTGGAGTTTCGGTAGGCAGAGGTAATAATGAGTATCAATAACTTCTTCAGTGTTGTAACTTCCTCCGTATGTTTATGCATAACAAATTACTAGATATACTTTTTACAGTTATTGAGATTCCAGCAGACACAACTATTCCTCATGCTGTGAAGATTCTATCTGAGTGCAACATTTTATCAGCTCCTGTAACAAATCCAAATGCAAGAGCAAGTATAAATTGGAGAGAAAGGTACCTTGGAATTGTGGATTATTCGGCGATTATCTTGTGGGTGATGGAGAGTGCGGAACTTGCTGCAGCTTCTTTATCTGCTGGTTCAGCTACTGCTATTGGAGTTGGTGCAGGAGCAGTTGGTGCTCTTGGAGCATTGGCATTAGGCGCGACAGGCCCCATTGCAGTTGCAGGGATAGCTGCAGCGGCGGTTGGAGCTGCTGTGGCTGGTGGAGTTGCTGTTGACAGAGGAATCGGTAAAGATGCTGCCACAGCGGCTGATAGTTTAGGACAAGATTTTTACAAAGTCTTACTGCAAGAAGAACCATTCAAATCAACAACAGTAGGCTCTTAAACTATGCCAGTAGGGTGACTTTTATTGCTCAAACTAACCAAATTACTACCTCATATCATATGTACTCATTTTCAAGCCTTGGTATCATGTACTCATGTGTTCCAGGTTCAGTCGATATTGAAATCCTACCGCTGGGCTCCATTTCTTCCAGTGACCCTAGATAATTCCATGTTAGGTGTCTTATTGCTACTCTCAAAATATAGATTGAGGAATGTACCTGTCATCGAACCAGGGAAACCCGACATCAAGAATTACATAACTCAATCTGCAGTGGTTCAGGGTCTTGAAAGGTGTAGAGGAAGGGACTGGTTTGACTGTATAGCTGCAAGACCTATTTCCGATTTAGGACTTCCTTTCATGTCTTGTAACGAGGCAAGTACTTATAATGACTGGTTTTGGTTTGTAACAATTTACAGCTTTAATTGTCTGTTCTCTTTTTGGTCAGGTCATTACCATCCAAAGCCAAGAGTTGATACTGGAAGCTTTCAAGCGAATGAGAGATAATCACATTGGTGGGCTTCCAGTTGTCGAGGGGCCAAAGAACAGAATTGTGGGAAATATAAGTATAAGAGACATAAGATATTTACTGCTTAAGCCTGAAATTTTCTCCAATTTCAGGTAGGATACAAGGCAGGACTTTTCATTATGCACGTTGAATTACGTTTTTAAGTCACATACTTGACCTTCTACTATAGAATGCTCTAGTATCTGCCAACTATGAATATCAATAAACGTGGAAAGGGTTGCATATTAACTATGTTAGAAACTAATGCCCCAATGAGGTAATGAACTTTCTTTTATGGCTCATATGGGCTAATTCCTTCTGTTTTTCTATATTATCAAATGTGTTTAAGCTATAAAAGCCCATTTTTGTCGATTGATGTTTTATGTTTCTTTTGTCGTTGGATTTCAGGAAGCTTACTGTTATGGATTTCATCAAGACAGTAGTTATGTTGATCCAAGATGTTGGGAAACTAGCCCCGCCAATCATATGCAAACTCGATTCGACTCTCGGCTCTGTTATTCATAGTCTTGCTTCCAAGTCAGTCCACAGGATCTATGTCGTAGCTGCTGATGACGAAGTTGTAGGGGTCATCACCCTAAGGGACGTGATCTCGTGCTTCATTTTTGAACCACCCAACTACATAATCAACAACTTTGGATTCTCTGCCGAAGAAATGTTGAATCAGTGACATTTATAAGTTTTCCTTACAAATCATAAATACTTAAGATGTAAAAGAGTTGCGAGCTCTGGTTTGGCACCAGAAGTATACTAATTACTTGATTTATGTACTTACTCTTAGGTCATTCTATTGAACTAAGGCCAGATGGCTTTCTCAATCCTTTGTCATTCATCATTTCTCTAACCCTTTCAACATCTTTCCACCTTCCAAGCTCAGCATATATATTGGATAAGATAATAAATGGAAGTGGATTCTTAGGCTCTAATTCTGAAATTCTTGAAGCCATTTCTTCGCCCAGTTTAGAATCTTTGTGCAAGCTACAAGCACCAAGCAAAGAAGCAAGAGAAGACATAGAAGGCTCTGGCAATTCTTCCAACAATTTTCGAGCTTTCCCCAACTGGCCGGCTCTACCCAAAATATCTATCATGCAGTTATAATGATCACGATCTGGCTGCAGGTCGTATTTCTTGTTCATCATCTTGAGAAACTGCCAACCTTTGTCAACCTGACCACAATGACTGCAAATAGACAAGAGACTGGTAAATGTGGCCGCATTTGGATGTACTCCTTCTTCCAGCATCCGATCAAATATATCAAACGCAGATTTGTTCTCCCCATTGTTCCCGTAACCTGAGATCATTGCGTTCCAAAATATTGTATCTTTTGGTTTGAAGCCAAATTGATCGAAGAGTCTCTGTGCTGAAGAAAGACATCCACATTTCATGTACATGTCAATAAGTGCCGTGGCAAGCAACACGTCCATATGAGTGAAGCTTTTAGTTACTTGGGCATGGATCTCTTTGCCATGTCGCAATGCAGACAAGTCTGAACAAACGAATAAAAGACTAGTGAGAGATTTTAAACTAGGGACTGTGCCAGCCGATTGCATTCTATGAAAGTACTTAAAGGCCTTCACCGGCTGACCCAAACGGGCATGTCCACTTATCATTGAGTTCCAGGTAGCTGAATCTGGCTGCAATTTATGGGACTCCAACGATTCAAAAAGTTCCACTGCAATTTCACTCTGTTCATTTAACATCATTCCTGCAATCAATGAATTCCAAGTAAATAAGTTACTGGTTCCTTTCCGCTCGTTGAATACCTTGTGTGCACACTGCCAAGCCCCACATTTAGAATACATGTCCACCAGTGCAGTTCCAACCATTACATCATCATTATCAATTTTAACAGTGAGTGCATGAACCTGCCTACCAAATCCAAGATGTGAAAGACTAGAACAAGCAGAAAGGACAGAAACCAGTGTGACGGAATTCGATTTCCCAGGTGGGCATTCCATCATGCTCTTAAATACATCAATTACCATAGGGGGCATGCCATTCAGTAGAAGCCCTGAAATATAAGCATTAAAACTCACCACGTTTTTGTTCGACATCTCTTGGAATACCTTTGCAGCGAAACCCATTTTTTCACAAGTACAATACATCGTCAAAAGCGCCGTAGCAACATATACGTCCATTTGAAAACCCAGGTTGATAGCCCAACAATGTACTTGCATCCCATGAGCAACACTTGCGCATGCTGACAGCAAGTTAACAATGGTAATTGAATTGGGCTTTAATGAACCGCGATTCACAAGCTCAACCATCCGTAACGCTTCTCCACGAAAACCATTCAACAGAAACCCAGAAATCATTGCGTTTAAAGACGCCGTGTTTCTGTGGGGCATTTCGTCGAACACTTTCAGAGCGTCATCAACATGAAAAAGCTTCAAATACATATCCGTGAGGGCTGTTGCTGCATAGACGTCTGCTGAAAACCCCACTTTCATCAAGTGGGTATGCAGCATTTGGCCTTGTGGAACCGAGTTAAGCTTTGCGCACGCTTTGAAGAGAGGAGGAAAAATGAAATTGTAAGAACTAAGGGAGGCTGAGTGGTGCTGCGAGTACATGGAGAATGCTTCAACGTAAAATCCTTTGGCCACCAATCGCACTATTTCGCGATTCATGGGATTTGATCGGAGCACAAGCGATCGAGCTTATTAACCAATTGTAGACTTGTTACCTTCCAACGCTCGTTTACGTTGGTCCGTTCGAGTTTTCTTATTTATTTAATAGTTAAACAAGCTTTATAAAAGAGAGGACAATTCTATTAAATGTTATCTAATCATTTAGATAAATTAAATTCTAAAATTCGTCACAGATGCTTAAATTTTTAAATCCTTAATTCGATTTTCCCTGCAGCTCAGATACTAAATTTTAATTTTTGTTACTAAACTCATCATGGTTCGAGTCATCATCAAAAGTAATGGACGGTGGTATTTATTAATTAATCAATTTATTTTAGGTCAACGTATTTCGTGAGTTGAGATAGTTTCCACTGCTCTTGCCGAGAAATCATGTTGTGAAGTTAAAGTGGAACATGCACTCAAATTTTGGATGCACAATAGCAAGCGCTCGATGAAGAAGCATAATGAAAATTACACATAATACCTCCATCGACAATAATGCCAACTGATGTCATGAGGGAATCATTACTTGGAAGTCGTGACCAATAGTTAAGCATAAGAAAGAAGATAAAAATCCCGTACTAACATGGTTCATTTTAGGACGTTAGATACAATATTTTAAGTTGAAGTGAGGTTTGAATCTATATTAAATTTATTATCCCATAAGTAATTCAAGTGGGTCTCTGAGTTGCCTTATTTGCTAGACCTATAACTTTTTATATAACTTTTAAGTCATGTTATTTAGTTTTTATCAAACATTTTTCCTTATAAAGTTTTTTTAAATTTTTTTTACGTGTTGTCCATTAAGTATATAAAAATGATGTTCACAGTATGATGCATAGACTAAAAAGTCTTCTCCGTCCTCATCACCACTAAATTTCTCATTTATTTATTGATCTACAAAGTTCTCATAAATAATTTATTTCATTTATTGTTTTTTTTAAAAAGATAGTTATTTTAAAATTTTCATCTTTTAATATAATATTTATCGAAAATTATAATAAATCAATATCTTTTATATATATTATATATGTTTTACCAATTTAACTTTTAAAAATTTAAATTTTAATATAAACATAAACTTTAACCATCTGAAAAAATCTAAATATTATTTTTAAATTAAGTAATTAATTTTTTTAATATCACCTCTAAATCTTAACAACTTACAAATTAGAGATCCCTACTAGACGGCGCCACGTTAATTTACGCGCAAAAAGGGCGGCCAAAATGGCAAATTACCAGCACATCGCTGATTGGCACGTGGTAATTCATTTTCCTCTCCAATATATCCTTTTATTTTCTTTATTATTATTATTATTATTATTATTTTGGTGGGACAAATGCAATAATATAAGCACGACTCGATTCTCCTCTCCCTCTTTTAGCCTCTTAATCGTGTTTTGGCCACTGGGGAAGTCTCTCATCGACGATTCCCTCTCGCGAAGCGTTTGAGGATTGAAATCGGGATTTTTCTTTGATTTAGTTTTTGAGTCCATCAAGATCAAGTGAAGGATCTCGCCGCGCTAGGTTACGGGTAAGGGGTTTCGATCATCTTAATTGTTTGAATTCTTTTCTTACATGGTTGCCTTGTTAATTTTGTCTTCGATTCGTGGATTATCATGGTGTGTCACTGGTTTTTGTTTTCGATGTTATTGACGTGGTTGTCGCGTGGACGCATATGTGTTCCCATACTGAGGTTAAGACCTGTTCGCCTTAATTTGTTAGATGATATATTCTGCTTCTCTGGCTAGCAGATTTGGACAGAGATCTAGGGGTTTTGATTACGGCGACAGTATGGGAAAAGATTTATTGACGTGCAACGCGTTAACTTTTTTGTTTTGTTACTGCATGGGTTTGCAATATCTAGTAGTTAGCTTTCCGAATTGAAATGTGTCTCGAGGACATTTTCTCGTATCTTGCTTGTTCTTTAAATGAAATTAAACAGTTCTACCACTTCTCCATCCATTTAATCCCCTTCTCGTTTGATGATCGAACTTGTTTCTTGTTTTTCATCAAACTTGCACTTGGCGTGAATTTTTATATATTTGGAATACTCGAACGGTATCTTTTCATGTTCAGATTGAGCATAATCATTTTTTCTGCGTTGTCCATGCGAGTGCTGAAGAAAGTGAAGTTAAAATTGTTGTCTGGGTTTATTTTCAGCCGGTGAGGATGTCTACTCCTGCAAGGAAGAGACTGATGAGAGATTTCAAGAGGTTGCAGCTAGATCCACCTGCTGGCATCAGTGGTGCTCCCCAAGACAATAATATCATGCTATGGAATGCTGTTATATTCGGGTACGACCCTTTTTTTCTTATCAGAATTTTTTTACACGTCCATCATTGCTTCTGTTGCTAACTGATTTACATGTTACTTCATTGGCTTATGCAGGCCAGATGATACACCTTGGGATGGAGGTATTCTCAATTTCTGGTCCTTTATGACTAATTAAGAAGACAACAGTGTTGTTATTAGAACCGAGTCTTCTGATGATTAACCTCTCTCTTATTTGACGATTTCACTTTGTTTTCTATCCAAAACTACAAATAATTAATGATATTGATGCATGTGTACTACAATATATACAATAGTATTTTAACTTTTCTCAATTATGTAGATATTTTTTTTGCTATATAGTTAATTATTTCTTCACGTCTCTTGATCTTCTTGTTAAGCTCTTTTCGCTATTTGGATATGGCGAGTGCATTGTATTTCCTGGGGGAAGAATCGGAATAATTATAACTTCTAAAATTCTATTTATTGTCTTCTTGGGGCTCTTGACTTTGTAAAGTCAGGTTGTTTTCATCTCTCCTCATGCAATGTACGGGTATGTACTCTGAATGATCCATGTATTATGCAGTGCTTTTCTAAACGTGAGATTTTAGTGAAAGGGATATTGGCATCTTGTTTGTCGTTTGATTTTCTGAAATTTTGAGTTAATTTTGTATTCAAATTTGGTAGTTCTCTTAATTAAATATATTTGTGAACTTCGTGTATGGTGTGTAATTTGGTAATCATTTTTATGAGTTGACCAGGTACGTTCAAACTTACCCTTCAGTTCACTGAGGATTATCCAAATAAGCCACCGACAGTCCGCTTTGTTTCTAGAATGTTCCACCCTAACAGTAAGTTCACAACCTCCAGGAATGTGGCCTTAACAAATATTTTATGATTTGATTCATTCTTGGTCAATTTGCGGAATTTTTGTAATCTCCATTGGCACTAGGTTTTATGAGGATGGCTAGTTCTACTGTACGTTTTTTGCTCTACTATTTTCTGTTAATACAATGTAGCTCAATGTGTATGTTTTGGTGCTCATATAATTTTCTCTTCCTAAGAAATGGAAAAAAAAACCAACTGCTAATATTATCGTTTCTGCTTTCATCAAACCTTTATAAATCCTAATTGCAATTCTTGATATGTATGCTATGTTGGGCTTGGATATGGATGGGTGATTTTAATATGTGAAAGTTCAGAGAAAAAGAGTTCAACTATCTTGTAAAATGACAAAGTAAATGTTTATCTTAGGTTGCAACGTAAGTTGTGACAATTTTGTTTTTAAATTATTTTCTCTACGAGCTGCTTAGTTTTTTTTTTTTTTTTTTTTTTTTT